TTGGAGGCCATTGCTATTAGGTTGGAGGCCATTGCTATTAGGTTGGAGGCCATTACTTGTAGGTTGGAGGCAATTGCTATTAGGTTGGAGGCCATTGCTATTGGGTTGGAGGCCATTGCTAGTAGGTTGGAGGCCATTGCTTGTAGGTTGGAGGCCATTGCTATTAGGTTGGAGGCCATTGCTATTAGGTTGGAGGCCATTGCTTGTAGGTTGGAGGCCATTGCTATTAGGTTGGAGGCTCATGATAGCTGTCATGTTGTCAGTTTTTGGAATCGCCAAATCTTGCGTGTGGACGATGTGCGCAACGCTGGAAAGCTGAGCGCCCCGAACCCCATGGCATTATGGAGCACAGGAGTGGTGGCGCCGTGGGCGAGGAATGCTTTGGTCCAGGACCAAGGCATGTGTTGTTTATGTGGTTTTCTCCTTTTCGTTTCTTGTGTGTGTGTTTTGGCAACCTCTAGGAACCGCATGGAACAATTTGCGAAGGATTCGTTCGCGATCTTTCACCTTGGCACTGACAGCTAACCCGTTTACCATACACCGGATCCTCGCATTATGCGGTGTTGAGACAGTCTGAGGTTCCAACATCTCCGGCGCGGAGGGGGCACGTCAGGGAACCTTGGATTGGATCACCACCTCCCTGCCCAACCAGTCATGGACATAGAATGGCAAGAATAGTCTCTTCATCCAAAAATGTTGTTTGTTCATGTTTGTTCCTGGGAAACAACGATTCCTTCAAAGCTATTCGATTCATTCAAGAACTGCAGGTGGCCCAGCGGTGCTTTAATGATCTCCACAGCGGCCCAGTTCAAGCGAGGTCACTCTGCAACCTTCTACGCCACGCTTTGGTCCATGGTGAGTTCGTGGAGGTCGCATCATAGTATTGTTTGCTGGGTGGTCTAATTGTCCAAAGAGCTTCCAAAAACAAAAAACGTTTTGTTCTAGAACTTACCGTGGCAGCACTACTTGTCGAGGAGCGTTCAGAAGCATGTCAACCGGAGGAGCGCGGTGTTGGCAAGCTAAATCACGAAAGAGTAGAGCGAGAGAGTTGATACTGAATGAATCTGAATGATGCTGATACTCCAGGAGTGGAAGTTGAGAGATGCCAGTGTGGTGAGCGGTCGTGTAGCTTAGTCAGAGCGATCCAGACCCTGAGCACTTCGGTGGGAGATGCGGAATCGCGAAATCAAACAATCCATAACACTCCTTTTCAAGAGAATGGCACCGTGACCGTAATGGCACCGTGGCCGTGACCAGAGCCAAATCAAGCGATTGAACTACTCGTAGGTCTGGTGTCAGCGCATGCGCCCGGTCCGCACCATAAATCGGAGATTGTAACTGCCGAAGGCATTTCAATACTCAAGGTTTCTCCTTATTTTGGACACCAAAGTGGCAGGACAGGAACCAGCCCTGGGCACACTTGTTTGTTTTTTTTTGCTTTTCACTGTGTTGCGTCTGGCTTGCCTTTGCTTGCTTACCGATGTTGGGATGCTGTTATTGTTACCGTTCGTGCCAGTCTGAAGAGGAATGCAGAGCTTCACGGTGCTTGTATTCTTTGTTGGGCTTGTGGCCAGTCAGGACAGGTTACGTCTTCATTGTCTCCAGATATTGCAGGGCTATTCAACATTGCAATTGTCATGTTGATATTGTCTCAAGGACGCTACTAGGAGCAAAGGGCATCGCTACTAGTAGTAAGGTCAGGAGCCCCTAGTAGCAATGGACCAAGTTGGTTCAGAGCAGCAAACCCAAGAAGAGCTGTCTATAGAGTCCATATACTTTATAGTAAGTCAAATTCCAGTCGTAGGTCTGCGAACTGTGCTGCCATATTCCGAAGTCGGTCCCGACTGACCGGAAGAAGTGTTGCGCTGTTGATTTCAGGAGCTTGGCAGCAGGAAGTGTGAATTCATCAAGAGGGAGATGCAGGGTGGTCACAAGGCAGCAAGGCTTAATCAAGAAGGTGCCTACTTGATTAAGTAAGGGCAACTAGTTAGCTTCTAGTAACTGGACGCAGGATAGCTCACGCTTCCTTGAAGAAGCACTCGCACTATTCATGTGGTTCCTAGATTTTTAGGGAAACTTATAAACATCTCGTTCTCGTTGGCCTCACATGGTCAAGCATAGACTGACTATTTCCTTGTTGGAGGCCTGGATGCAGTCGCAGCCATGGTTTCAAAGGCTAGCCAGGCCATAGGGCTGAATTGGGCTGTCTCGGAAGAGGCTGCAAACATGGTGACAACATGTGACAACATGTCAACGGTAAACCGAATCTCCCACGCTTTCTGTCGTATTTCACATCTATCGCCCGCGTGCCTTGGCTTGTGTATCTTTTAGTACGGGAGTTTGCAGAGTCCCTATTCGGACCTTCCATCGGATTCGCGGGATGAAGAGCTTTTACACAAACCAAAAACTGGATTTGGTGCAAGCAGTTTTTGGATGCAAGGAAATTCTAAATTGATGTATATAATTAGTATAACAACTGAACACTTTGCATACAGTCTGGAAACAACCCCATCGCAAGGGGATGCTCTCAAGCCTAGGCATAGGCTTTCGCCCGCAGCCTTCTTTGCAGTAGAATGTGACGGTGAGAATTATGATATATTATGGGGCTTCAATGGTTTGCTGCAGGAAGTGCGGAGGTTGGGTACCAGCCTGGCGGCAAAGTTTGGAATGGTACTTTGTGCACATGGTCTGGGAGCATTTCAATATTGAGCAGGAATAACAAATTCGTTTTCCGCAATCAGTATTGCGCAGGCAACAAGCGCAAAGGCATAGAACAAACCTTCGCACGCGTTTGGTCCCAATGCGCCAAAATAATTATGTGCCACACAATTAGTCTAATCTAAGCATGTCTGTTTGGTTCAAATGATTTGAACCTCCAGTCAGCCAACCTAGGGGGACTGAAGCCAACTGGAAGAGCTACAATGAAAACAAGGCTCTCACACCATGTTTGGCCATTTTGCGTTGCTTCGCCAAGTTGTTTGCCCGCCGATCCAAACCTGCAAGACTCCTGATTCTAGAGCGAACATGGGTCTGGCCCTCGTCAATCTGTAACGTTTAGGCAATCTTACTGTACGCTTTTGGAGTTGTCTTGAGGTTTTGCTGTGGTAGGCTAGTTTGGGGACCTTTGGCAATATTGCTTGGTCTTTGGGATATGAGCCATTTTCATTTCGGCACAGACGTACCAATCCAAGAATAGCCAGACAGCTCACAAAATGGGGCTATGTCTATGGCCAAGACAAGGCATACACCACCACCCATCCACCCGCGGATTTCCTCTATTTGGAATTTCGCTTGAGGGCCTTTCAACCTGTTCTGGTTGCTGCGGAGGACAGCTCATTACTTCTTCTGTCATGACCATCACTATGCCCTGTCATACAGAGTGATCCAGTTGCATCCTTCGAGTGTACGCAGCCTCCTAATTACTCTTCCAGATCTCATCTTTTGTTGTATGTTTCTTTGGAAGTTGTAATTTTGATAATATTGGGTTTATGAGAGGCAAAGCAAGAGTCGCACCGCACAGATGAACAGTTGGATTTGGGACGGCTGAACCGCTCCAGGCTTTGTCAGCTTCCCCAACATTCTATGGCGCCTCAGCTTAATGAGTCTTTCCACTTGAGGTACTTCATAGAAATCTGCTACAGGTCTATCACCCAATGATGGAGCGCCCCATGGTCTTCCATCGGCCAATGCAAATGCGTGCTGAACCTGCTATGATGGGAATGCCTATGCGACCCCAGATGCACATCGAGGTGCGGTAGATTCAGATGAGATTGTCAGATGCCTGACAGTTGCGGGCATTGACTGGTGCATTAGCCCCAGATTGTCGTGGTTTTGTCTAATACGTACTGCTGTAAACTTGACAAGACGCGACGTTCTTGCAGAGTGGCCAAGTGCGTCATGGACCCTACGATACCCCACGACAATACTCGCATTGCCAATCATTTTGTTGTTGTGCATAGAATGATCTTTCAATGCCTGACATAATTGCATTATATATATATATACATATTACCTCTATGCATGTGCGAAGCCGCCAGAGAAGGATGCGGAGACAGAAACAGCATGTTTCTGGTGCCAGGTTCCCGCACAAATTAGTGGTGGCCTGAAGAGCGCCTTTGATATGGCCAGGGAAGCTGCATCATCTCCGGCTGGCGTGGCCTGACATGAGTAAGTGGGCACTGGATGCGTCGGCCTGTTGGGGACGAAAAACCAAGAATTGGCAAATGATGTTTTATGATGTTTTCATAGTTGTTCAAAAGGGTTTGACCTGTTCGATCTTGTTTGAGAGAGGGGTTGAAGACGTTTGACTTTGAGTGCGAAGGTCCAAAACAAGTGCATACGGGACTGACCGGACCATTGACTTTGGTGCTTGTTCAAGCCAAACATAAAGTTGTATTGAAGATTAATTAATTGGTGAGCTGAGGCTGAATTGCAGAATGATGCTCAAAAGCTTGCTGAAAAGGCGAAGACTGCGTGACTTGGCAAGCAGGCCAAGGTGTCCAGGTCAAAAAGATTCAAAAAGTATCAATTGAAAGGGGAGGAAGAAAGAACACATCATAAGTCTAAATAAAGTTCAATAGAGGACACAAAAGTATAGAAGTTCAAATCGAAGTCTTAAAATAGAATCCAAAAGTATATACTGTAGGGAGAAAGGACAGGACAGGTTCTTATTCTTTTTCGTCCGACAGTGCATTTGGTTTGATCGCCAAGGTTTGAGCATCAAGACACGCACGAGCTGAAGGAAGGTGCAACAGCTGCTAGCAGAAAACAGAATGCGAGTAGACACAGGGAAAGCTCAATGTCAATGCAGAAATAGATTCTTGCAGAATCAGGTAGACACATGAGGGCTCACATGAGAGATTCTGGAAGACTACGATTCCATCGTGTGCAGAGTTCAAGCAAGAGCCCCCCCCCGCCTCAGACAGGGGGAGCTTGCTTGAAGAACCTGAACTGGTGCTTGCTAGACAGCCCTCAGATCCCCTCATTACTAGCTAGCCTGTTTTAAACCCCGCACGTCTCGGCCTAGGCCGGTGTACCCCTTACCTCCCTCAAGAAGAAACACCTCCAGGGGCCGAAGGGTTTGACGATGTTTGACGGTTTGAATGGATTCGAGTGGACTAAAAGCGAGCAAAGCTTCAGTGCTTAAGGAGTTCGTCAAGAACCTCCAGCACTTGTGGGACAAGAATACTAACGAGGACAGGCAACAGGTAGATTTCCCACCCAAAGAAGTGTGAAGTTTCGATGTACACTCTGAAATACTTTGAACATTATCACTGAAACGACTCTCAGCGCTCATCTCTTTGACTTCCCGTGGGAAAAGGTCCCTTCGCCACAGGACACGAAGAGGAAAGCGCAATTGCTCATGGGCAAAGCGGAGAAGCTTCTGAGCGGGCAGGATCAGGACTTCCAAGACCTTCCAAATCTCACTCATATCCAACACACAAATCTCGGTGCTGCCTTTTTGCGGGAGACTTGCTAGCTAGTTGAGCGCAAGAGCAAATAGGTTGGCTAGTTTGGCACTATTTGACGGGAAGGATCTGCAGAGCACTGGCCTGAAGATTGCTCGGAACTTGACCTTTGTCGTATCTGATTTGCCACACCAAGACACGATGGAGAAAATTTCTGAGGCCAAGATGGCCTCTGATCAAGTGGAGAAGAGCGTCCCTCAGGTGCCAATGTGAGCATATCAACTGGTCGCCACAACAATGTTCACTTTATGTAACTCAGACCAAGCTAAAGTTGATCAAGCTCCATGAGGCAAAGGGTCTTCTGAAGGCTGCTTTGCAACAGCAGGGTGGCAGCGACCTGGCCCAGAAGGCCTGGATATTTTGTCTGGATTTTGTCCGAGTTACAAAGCCAATCTGCACGACGCAAATTTCCTGGACAGGCCGAGTTGGCTTATGATCAGCTAAAGAAAGCTGGTTTGGAGAAAAAGGCCTCTTCTGCTCTATCATATAATTTGTCTCCTTGAAGTTCTAACATGTTCCAACCTTCCACCCATCTGTGGGCTTCTAGGTTACTCGCAGGATTGAATTGTCAGCTGAGAGCTGTTTGAGCTTTGCCAGAGGCAGAAGAGTTGGCCGAGAAAGCTGAGAAGAAACTAGCGATGGAGTTTAAGAACAGTGTTCAAGTGTGAGCAGCCTGAAAGCTTGCATGTGGTGTCAATCTGGGAGCCGTCAATGTGGTAATTTGCCACAATGAATGATAAGCGTTGGACTGCATTGGTTGGATGAGACCGGATGAAACCACGGAGCTTCGCCCACATCCACGTTGCTTTAAGCACAAGCAGCATGCGCAATCTGTACAGCCATGTAGAAAAGTCACCTCGGCCAAGGCCGGCTTTGTGGCTGGTAGGTTTTCTCACGGGACTGCACCTCCTTACAGCAGAGAAGGATGTTTGTCGCGTGTATTTCGGGCTCCATGGAGCTAGTTGACAGAGTCCCAGCTTCCATGAGCCCATAGACATCCAACTTGTGGTAATATACTGTGCATAATATATCATAATATCAACATCAGACCTTTAGGCGTTTGATGAACAATTGAAGCTGCTATATGATGCGCAAAGCTTTCAACATGTGCTTTACCGTATGTTGACCTCCTTCGCGGAGAAGCTGGCATTGTTGATCTTTGGCCAAAGACACTTGAAAACAGCGCTGCTGTAAGCAGGAGCAAAACATGTGGTCAGATGTGCTAGCGATGATCAGCACGGCGCGGTGGAATTGTGTTTGTTGTATTTGCATTGATTACTTTATTGACGTTTTTGTCGGTGTTGTTTCTAGGTCCAACATTGCTGGGAACCATCAGTAACCATTCAACGATTGGAATGTGACGGTAAGGTCCAGTTGGTGAGACTGGCTCACCTTGACTCGATCGACTCGATCAAGGTCACAACTTGACGACACTTGCTACTGAACTTCGACTCCTAGGCACAAAGCAGCGGCACATGGAGGGCAAAAAGAGGTCAAAGTATAGTCAAATCCTCCAGCTGAGGGCTCAAGTAGACACATTGATTGTTCGGACTAGTCTTGTTTGGTTTTGCCAGATTGCCTGGTCGTTGCCTCGTTTTGGACGGTGGATCTTCCGCTTCTGTTGCGTTGGTCAGGTGGGAATGCCTTCTCTCAGGAGTACGGTGCATTGCCTTCGTTTGGGGCTCGGAAGATAATGATTTGAGCATGACATATCTGACCAACCTTGGTGAGTCTTTTGGACTTTTGTTTGCTTTCGCCTATTGGTATTGCAATGTATTGCATGCTTTACTGTAGAGCTTTTGGGGAAACAAGTACCAGAAATCGGATGCTCAACGAGGCGCGAGCTGCTTGCAAGAGGTGCTGCACGCCGATCCATGCGGCGGTGGGTACTCTGCCTAAACAAGGAATTGAAAGTCGAAGTTTGGGCAAGCAAAGCGAATCAACTAGGTCACTCCTTTCACAATCTCGATGTTTCGATATGTTTCACATTCCTCTAAATCCGGCTTAGCTTGTCCTTGCAAGATCTCGCAAGCCTGACACCATTTGGTTTGCTGGAGTTTATTGAAATGACGATCTGAGGTCTTTGTCACGAACATCCGCGAGAGCCTGAGAGAGATGCTCAAGATTAGGTTTTGACGTCGGGTTTGCTTTTGAACTTCAAGCCTTCAAGCCTTCAACTGAAGTCCGGATAGCCTTGCGGTTTGCAGATGCTTTGCCAATTGCACAATGAGTCACTCAGCAAGTCCATGAGCCAGATTTCTTGGGTGTCGTTGAACACGCTCATATGCATGAATATAACGGCTGTTCCCTTGCGACCCTGAGAGACGAACACCCTGAACTTCAGTGTGTTTGAACACCCAGTTTGTGTATTGAAGGAGATTTTGAGGCGGAAGCACAAGAATGATACAAAAGACTGAAACAATAAAATAGTCCTTGTATGTATCACTCTCCAGCCTAGTAGGCGCTCCTTATTCTCAGGCATCTCCCAGGCTTGCCATGGCAGAACCAGTTCTCTACGGCAAAGTTGAGGAGGGGCAGGGGACAGGTGCGCAGTTCTTTGCGAACGGTGACCAGTTGCAAGCGGGGGAGGTGGCATTGGTGCAAGCCTCAGATTGCAGCAACCTGGTCACAGAACACAATGAACATCAATGACCTCATTGAAATTTGTTATACAATTACTAATATAGTATCAGTATAAGGATAACTTAACATAACTTAACCATGTTAAGTATGTATAGTTAAACTATATACATATATATGTAATATTTCCAAGATTGTTTTTACCGCTCTGACACCTTAACGCCTGCGTGTCTTGAAAGAGAGACAGCTAGTCCAGGATGATTTGCGTAGGGTGGCGCTTGATGTTGATGGGGATAGGTTATTTCATATTGCTATATATGTATTTCAGTATTTCTATTGTTTGTATCGTGTGTCCTTTGTTAAGTCACAGGGTTTGTGTGAGAGCCATGAAATTCTCATCAGGTAGATGTTGCTGCTGCCTCCGCTTCACCAGCAGAGATCCCCGAGCAACAAAGGGAGGGTCCATGGGCTATTTGTTGCTGGTGCTCATAGGATGGATGATCGCCGTGCTCTCAGTTTACCTGTCTCGGAATTCCTTTCCAACGCCACAGCCCGCTGACAGCACAACCTTTTCGGAAGAGCGAGCAAGGAAAATCTTGCTGAGCGTACAGGCGACAGGCGAGAGTGCTTGAAATGTCATGAAATGCCTAGTGGGATATTAAGATGGACCCGGGTCAACCAGGGCATTCAATGCTCACCCCTCACATTTCTGCATAATCATAGAGGACAGATGAAGAGAAAAGAGTCTAAGTCTAAGACGTTTGCTTCATCACTCCGATTATTTTCCCATTCAGCAGGTGCTCACCCGGTACTATGGTCGGGAGGTGACTTCAAAGCAACGTCTCCCAACATAGCCATCTTCAACCTTTTTCGGGATGAGATCCTGCGCATCCAGGCAGATGCTTCTCAACAGGTCCAAGTGGAGCTGCAGGTGCCATCCACCGGAAGCGTCATCAGAAACTCATCCTATTTCGATTACATCGCGGCCAGACTTCGCGTGAGCAACGCACACTACCCGAAGGCCATGTTGCTGACGGCTCATTTTGATTCTGCTGTACCAGATGGTGTTCCGGATTCTGAGTGGGCGCTGCCTTCCATGGGTGATGGAATGGCTGATGATGGGGTGGGTTGCGCCGCCGTTTTGGAAACCTTTCGTGTTTTGGCAACAGCTCAAGAGCCCCCACTGGTGGACGTGATTCTTTTGCTGACCAATGCAGAAGAAAGAGGATTTGTAGGCCTTGACTCCTTCATGAGTCACAGCCCATGGGCAACTGATGTCAGCTTCTTTGTCCAGATGGACCAAAGTGGATCTCGTGGTCATGCTTTGGCTGTCTTCGGGGATGCGATGTCAGGTGCGGGGAACCTAGCTCAAAACATCTCAAAACGCTAAGATGCGGTGATTATGGTGCAATGGTTGTTCGTTTTACGATTTGTTAGAACAGTTGTTGCAATTCGTACCCAAAAGCGCCTTCAGGCTGTCCAACCTTTTGGTTCAGATAGCGCGAAATTGCTGTTGGAAGATGTTGAAGGTCTATTGCTCACACTACAATTGATGTGTCCTTCATGTTTTGTCGGGGTTCGGCCATGTTGAACAGTTGTGGATGCTTTGTCGATGAGTTTTGGAATTAACAAATTGGGAACGAATGAACATGTGGCAAGTTATTGTGAACATGGACAGATATGTACATGAAGTATGTGCTACTTTAGAGCTGTTAATTGTGAACTGCATCTAACTTTTTCCACTTTCAACTTAGACTTTGCCAAAAGCTACTCCCTGCAGGTGAAAGAGTTGCTGCATTCGCTTACCATGCTGGAGCTGTTCATCCACACACCAGCGTTCTTTTGCGTGATTTCCAACCCTGGGAAGATATGTCAACAGATGGTGTGAGGCTGCGATCTGCTTATGGCATTCCTGGCATAGGCATGTACATGATGGAGGACCGATGTCCCTATCACACGGTCTATGATACCCTAGAACACATTATGCCTGGTAATCTCCAGCATCACGGAGACAACTTTGTGGGAATCAGCAATGCACTGACCAGGAATGAAGAAATCTTGGCTTCCTGGGCAAATGGCGAGTCCGATTTGTCCGGTGATGCGTACAGCATAGACCTGCTATCATCTTCAATGCTTCTGTTGACCTCAGCATCAATGGGCGTTCTTTACGGCTTCTTGACGATTGCTACCTTGACTGTCACCCTGTGCCTTGCTTGCTTGGAGCCCAAAGGCACTTTGGCGGCTCTAGCAGATACAGGGCTGCTAGCCCTTGCTCACTTCGTTTCCATTGTCTTTTCTATTCTGGTCAGCTTCGCCATTTCTCTTGTGGTCACCGGAAATTGGGGATATTGGTACGAACGTGATGGCATGGCCATTTGGCTTTACGTGTTGCCTTGCTTTGCGATTGAGCTTCTCTTTGGCCGAGTCTTGCTCTTGCGACGCTTCCACGGACTCTCACCCCAGCAGCTACAGTGGCGCTCCACCTGTGCTACCTTGGTGCTTTTTGTCCCAATCGCTTTAGCTTTGGCTCTGGCAGGTGCACCCAATTGACAAAAGGGGGTCTCCAGTCAGTCTCGAGTGTTTGTCAATGGTTGTCATACTACTGGTATCATTGTAAAGAAGTTGTGTTGAAAGCCTCAAACTCTCCGCTTTGCGTTGAACCCGAAGTTGTTGCCCCTCGGTCCTTTGGTGCTTTTCCAGGTCTCCACTTGTCAATCTTGTTTGCAATGTGCATCCTCACTCGCTTGAGTGGCTTCACGCTCCGCGTTTTGCTTGGTGTGGTCGCGGCTCTCAGCAAGTGGGGTAGAAAGGATGGCTGCACAGTGCTGGTCTCAAGGAGCCTCGGGGAGAGCCTCGGTGATGCCTTTCAGGTCTTTCCATATCTTCCCTGGGCTGCTTGTGGAGCCACACTTGAGCTATCAGTTGCGCTTTTGGGCTCCATTTATTTGTTGGATGCCATGCGCTTTGCAGTGCTAAACTTCACCACCAGCTTCGGGGTAGAAGGAGATGTACTGGGTGGGGAGCTCACACTAGGCCTCTACTGTGGGCTCTTTGGGTCCTTGGCAATCATGCAGAGTAGTGCAATCCAGGCGCCTCCCAGGATTTTGCAGCTTTCTGTGACTGTGTGAGATTTTGTTGGAAGCTTTGCTGCTGGCTTAACAAACTGTAGGATCATTCATGAATCATGAGCATTCTAACATAACTTGTTCTGCTCTTTCCATGGAAAAGCACGCATGTCAATCAGTTAATCAAAGGAAGTTTAGAAGGAACTTCCGTGTTACGAACATTTACATCACTCATCATACACCACTCATCATACACCACTCATCACCACTCGTCAAACCACCACTCATCATACACCACTCATCAGATTTCGTGGCAGGTGCGATACAAAAATGCGTTTTCGAGAGATAGCGGACGCACGAAATGCTGTATTTTTCAATAGAACCGGTGGCTTCGAACCTGGCAAGTCTAGCTCTGCGGAACGACTGTTGCGAGACAGTCTCGGGTCATGCTCGGTCGGCCGTCCATTGTGATTAGGTTTTCACTTGTCTCTTGAAGTGCAGATTTCGTGGCAGGCGCAGCACTTTGTGAACCTCCATGTGCAGATTTCGTGGCAGGCACAGCACTTTGTGAACCTCCATGTGCAGATTTCGTGGCAGGTGCAGCACTTTGTGAACCTAGGTGTGCAGATTTCGTGGCAGGTGCAGCACTTTGTGAACCTCCATGTGCAGATTTCGTGCCAGGCACAGCACTTTGTGAACCTCCATGTGCAGATTTCGTGGCAGGCACAGCACTTTGTGAACCTCCATGTGCAGATTTCGTGGCAGGCGCAGCACTTTGTGAACCTAGGTGTGCAGATTTCGTGGCAGGTGCAGCACTTTGTGAACCTCCATGTGCAGATTTCGTGCCAGGCACAGCACTTTGTGAACCTCCATGTGCAGATTTCGTGGCAGGCGCAGCATCTGGGGAGCTGGAAGCTGAGAACTGGCGGCTCTTGTAGTACAACTTTAGTACGCGGATCAATTTGTGAGCTGGAAGCTGAGAACTGGCGACATTGTAGTACAACTTTAGTGCGCGGAGCAATTTCTGAGCTGGAAGCTGAGAACTGGCAACTTTCTAGTATAACTTTAGTACG